TTTTCATAAGTACTTGCATAAACGGGATTAAACCATTGTTAACTAATGTTATTAAGGTAGGGTCAGCCCTCGTTAGTGGTAGTGGTGGTGGGTGTGTGGGCTGGTGGTGATTGTTGTAGTGGTGGTGGGTGTGTGGGCTGGTGGTGATTGTTGTAGTGGTGGTGGGTGTGTGGGCTGGTGGTGATTGTTGTAGTGGTGGTGGGTGTGTGGGCTGGTGGTGATTGTTGTAGTGGTGGAAAGTGTGTGTGAGCTGGTGATTGTTGTAGGCTGGTGGTGATTGTTGTAGTGGTGGTTGGGGTTTGGGCTGGTGGTGACTGTAGTGGTGGTGGGTGTGTGGGCTGGTGGTGATTGTTGTAGTGGTGGTTGGGGTTTGGGCTGGTGGTGACTGTAGTGGTGGTGGGTGTGTGGGCTGGTGGTGATTGTTGTAGTGGTGGTTGGGGTTTGGGCTGGTGGTGACTGTAGTGGTGGTGGGTGTGTGGGCTGGTGGTGATTGTTGTAGTGGTGGTTGGGGTGTGGACTGGTGGTGATTGTAGTGGTTGTGGTGGTGAGTGTGTGGGCTGGTGGTGATTGTTGTAGTAGGTGTGAGGTGATGATTGTGGTTATAGTGGTGATGGGTGTGTTTTGATGATTGTGGTTGTGGTAGTGATGGGTGTGTGGTAATGACTGTAGTTATGACGGTGGTGCTGATGGATGTGTGGTGGTGATTGTGGTTATGGTGGTGGTGGTGGCGATTATGGTTATGGTGGGGTGGGTGTGTGGTGGTAATTGTGGTTATGGTGGTGATTGTGGTGGGTGTATGGTGGTGCTGGTGTTGGTGGTGGTGGTGGTGATGGTGTTGGTGGTGCTGGTGGTGATGGTGATGGTGTTGGTGGTGCTGGTGGTGGTGGCTTCTACTAGGTCACTCTTCGTGCTCCATGAACTTTATCATACCTCTACTTAAAGGTATGTATGGATCCTGCTTTCACTACATCACTACCCAGACTATTCCACTTCCTGACAACTCTGTGACTGAAGAAATACTTCCTAACATCCCTGTGATTCATCTGAGTCTTCAGCTTCCAACTGTGACTCCTTGTTGCTGTGTCCCATCTCTGGAACATCTTGCCTCTGTCCAACCTGTCGATTCCTCTCAGTATTCTATATGTCGTTATTATATCCTCCCTCTCTTGTCCTCCAGTGTCGTCAGGTAGATTTTCCTTAACCTTTCTTCGTAGGACATTCCCCTCAGCTCCGGGACTAGTCTTGTTGCAAACCTTTTCACTTTTTGTAATTCCTTTATATGCTTGGCTAGGTGTGGGTTCCAAATTGGTGCTGCATATTCCAATATAGGTCTAACGTACACAGTGTACAGGGTCCTATTGAGATGTCGGAATGCTGTTCTTAGGTTTGCTAGGCGCCCGTGTGTGTGTGTGTGTGTGTGTGTGTGTTACTCACCTAGTTGTACTCACCTAGCTGAGGTTGCAGGGGTCGAGTCCAAGCTCCTGGCCTCGCCTCTTCACTGGTCGCTACTAGGTCACTCCCCCTGAACCGTGAGCTTTGTCATACTTCTGCTTAAAGCTATGTATGGATCCTGCCTCCACTACATCGCTTCCCAAACTATTCCACTTCCTGACTACTCTGTGGCTGAAGAAATACTTCCTAACATCCCTGTGATTCATCTGTGTCTTCAACTTCCAACTGTGTCCCCTTGTTGCTGTGTCCCATCTCTGGAACATCCTGTCTTTGTTCATCTTGTCAATTCCTCTCAGTATTTTGTATGTCGTTATCATGTACCCCTATCTCTCCTGTCCTCCAGTGTCGTCAGGTTGATTTCCCTTAACCTCTCCTCATAGGACATACCTCTTAGCTCTGGAACTAGTCTTGTTGCAAACCTTTGCACTTTCTCTAGTTTCTTTACGTGCTTGGCTAGGTGTGGGTTCCAAACTGGTGCTGCATACTCCAATATGGGCCTAACGTACACGGTGTACAGGGTCCTGAACGATTCCTTATTAAGATGTCGGAATGCTGTTCTGAGGTTTGCTAGGCGCCCATATGGTGCAGCAGTTATTTGATTGATGTGCGCTTCAGGAGATGTGCCTGGTGTTATACTCACCCCAAGATCTTTTTCCTTGAGTGAGGTTTGTAGTCTCTGGCCCCCTAGACTGTACTCCGTCTGCGGTCTTCTTTGCCCTTCCCCAATCTTCATGACTTTGCACTTGGTGGGATTGAACTCCAGGAGCCAATTGCTGGACCAGGTCTGCAGCCTGTCCAGATCCCTTTGTAGTTCTGCCTGGTCTTCGATCGAGTGAATTCTTCTCATCAACTTCACGTCATCTGCAAACAGGGACACCTCAGAGTCTATTCCTTCTGTCATGTCGTTCACAAATACCAGAAACAGCACTGGTCCTAGGACTGACCCCTGTGGGACCCCGCTGGTCACAGGTGCCCACTCTGACACCTCGCCACGTACCATGACTCGCTGCTGTCTTCCTGACAAGTATTCCCTGATCCATTGTAGTGCCTTCCCTGTTATCCCTGCTTGGTCCTCCAGTTTTTGCACCAATCTCTTGTGTGGAACTGTGTCAAACGCCTTCTTGCAGTCCAAGAATATGCAATCCACCCACCCCTCTCTCTCTTGTCTTACTGCTGTCACCATGTCATAGAACTCCAGTAGGTTTGTGACACAGGATTTCCCGTCCCTGAAACCATGTTGGCTGCTGTTGATGAGATCATTCCTTTCTAGGTGTTCCACCACTCTTCTCCTGATAATCTTCTCCATGATTTTGCGTACTATACATGTCAGTGACACTGGTCTGTAGTTTAATGCTTCATGTCTGTCTCCTTTTTTAAAGATTGGGACTACATTTGCTGTCTTCCATGCCTCAGGCAATCTCTCTGTTTCGATAGATGTATTGAATATTGTTGTTAGGGGTACACATAGCGCCTCTGCTCCCTCTCTCAGGACCCATGGAGAGATGTTATCTGGCCCCATTGCCTTTGAGGTATCTAGCTCACTCAGAAGCCTCTTCACTTCTTCCTCGGTTGTGTGCACTGTGTCCAGCATATGGTGGTGTACCCCACCTCTCCGTCTTTCTGGAGCCCCTTCTGTCTCCTCTGTGAACACTTCTTTGAATCTCTTGTTGAGTTCCTCACATACTTCACGGTCATTTCTTGTTGTCTCTCCTCCTTCCTTCCTTAGCCTGATTGTGTGTGTGTGTGTGTGTGTGTGTGTGTGTGTGTGTGTGTGTGTGTGTGTGTGTGTGTGTGTGTGTGTGTGTGTGTGTGTGTGTGTGTGTTTGTATGTGTGTGTGTTTGTGTGTGTGTGTGTGTGTGTGCGTCCTTTCTTTGTGTGTAAGAAGGATTTATTATTACATTTATGAGGGGAGCGTTAAACCCGAAGGGGTCATACAACGCCTGGGAGTAATGGAAGGCGCTGAGGCTCGATTCATGGAGCTGGAGCACATGCCCAGTTCCTCGGATCAAGAGTCCCTCCCCAGCATCAAGGAACCTCCCTCGATGGGTTGTAACAGAAGGGGAGAAGACGGAGTGGGAACTCGGGAGAAAACACTGAGGGACGGAGAGGGGTGGGAGGAAGGACTGCAGGACGGGAAGGAGGTGGGAGGGAGGACTGCAGGACGGGAAGGAGGTGGGAGGGAGGATTGCAGGACGGGAAGGTAGTGGGAGGGAGGACTGCAGGACGGGAAGGTGGTGGGAGGGAGGACTGCAGGATGGGAAGGTGGTGGGAGGGAGGACTGCAGGATGAGCAGGTGGTGGGAGGGAGGACTGCAGGATGAGAAGGTGGTGGGAGGAAGGACTGCAGGATGGGAAGGTGGTGGGAGGGAGGACTGCAGGATAAGAAGGTGGTGGGAGGAAGGACTGCAGGATGAGAAGGTGGTGGGAGGGAGGACTGCAGGATGAGAAGGTGGTGGGAGGAAGGACTGCAGGATGGGAAGGTGGTGGGAGGGAGGACTGCAGGATGGGAAGGTGGTGGGAGGGAGGACTGCAGGACGGGAAGGTGGTGGGAGGGAGGACTGCAGGATGGGAAGGTGGTGGGAGGGAGGACTGCAGGACGGGAAGGTGGTGGGAGGGAGGACTGCAGGATGGGAAGGTGGTGGGAGGGAGGACTGCAGGACAGAAAGGTGGTGGGAGGGAGAACTGCAGGATGGGAAGGTGGTGGGAGGGAGGACTGCAGGATGGGAAGGTGGTGGGAGGGAGGACTGCGGGACAGAAAGGTGGTGGGAGGGAGGACTGCAGGATGGAAAGGTGGTGGAGGGAGGACTGCAGGATGAGAAGGTGGTGGGAGGAAGAACTGCAGGATGGGAAGGTGGTGGGAGAGAAGACTGCGGGATGGGAAGGTGGTGGGAGGGAGGACTGCAGGATGGGAAGGTGGTGGGAGGGAGGACTGCAGGACAGAAAGGTGGTGGGAGGGAGGACTGCAGGATGAGAAGGTGGTGGGAGGAAGGACTGCAGGATGGGAAGGTGGTGGGAGAGAGGACTGCGGGATGGGAAGGTGGTGGGAGGGAGGACTGCAGGACAGAAAGGTGGTGGGAGGGAGGACTGCAGGATGAGAAGGTGTGGGAGGAAGGACTGCAGGATGGGAAGGTGGTGGGAGGGAAGACTGCAGGACAGAAAGGTGGTGGGAGGGAGGACTGCAGGATGGGAAGGTGGTGGGAGGGAGGACTGCAGGATGGGAAGGTGGTGGGAGAGAGGACTGCAGGACAGAAAGGTGGTGGGAGGGAGGACTGCAGGACAGAAAGGTGGTGGGAGGGAGAACTGCAGGATGGGAAGGTGGTGGGAGGGAGGACTGCAGGATGGGAAGGTGGTGGGAGGGAGGACTGCAGGATGGGAAGGTGGTGGGAGGGAGGACTGCAGGACGGGAAGGTGGTGGGAGGGAGGACTGCAGGATGGGAAGGTGGTGGGAGGGAGGACTGCAGGACGGGAAGGGAGGAAGGTCGTGAGGGAAGGCTGGAACAAGCGGCAGTAGTCCACGAACGAAGGAGCAACAGTAGTGGTTTGGCCACTGTGCTGTGAGGAGTTGTCTCGCTCTAACTCACTCACTCACGTTCTCGGTCACTCATTCACTCACAGAACGTTCCTCATGTGATCAAGTACTGAAACTCAAGTTTGATCAGAGAAGTGAAGTTTAACCTCAAAATATTTTGAACTTCATGGAGCCACATGTTACATTAAATAGCATTAATGTAGCTCTCTAAGTAGCATTAATGTAACTCTCGTAATAACACTTAAAGAAAATGAATATTTGTTTGTATACAAAGCAATGAGGGGAAAACTGGTTGAATAACTGTTAGTTAAACGTTATTTGTAAATATAATAACAATGATAATAACAAATGGATTAGTTCATTTAGTTTAATAACAGGATGAACATTTACTGAAAAAAAGACCCACTGAAATAAGGTAAGTGTAAATAATGTACTATTGTCAGGAATCGTGGAACATCTATGAAAATTCACCCAACTTCAGTATATAAGGTTAGGTTAAGTAAGGTAACGTTTGTCAGGAAACAGGACAAGTGTTTCCTGACGCTGGCCTTAGTCATATGATGACCAGCAGCTGGAGATTTAGATGACCAGCAGCTGGAGCTTTAGATAACCAACAGCTGGAGCTTCAGATGACCAGCAGCTGGAGCTTCAGATGACCAGCAGCTGGAGCTGGTTTACCAGTCCACTCTTTTATGATTATGATCATACCTGGAGGGTGTTCAGCAGGGGCAGCGCCCCCGTTGCCCGGTCCATGCCCAGGCCGAGCGGTGGATCAGGGCCATCCTAACCACTAGATCTAAGATGATATTTGATTCTTCAATATATTGTTTCGAAATCTTAGATATCCTGAGCATCCTATTTGCATCTTGCTCTATACCTGTTTTCCACTTGTACAGCTCAGTCATGTCTTCCTTTATTGTACGTTCTTATAGTGTGTGGGTTTACAGCTTTCATTCTGTCTTTATTAGAAAATTCCTTATGCAAGAATAAACTTTGTCATTCTTCTTTGAATTTTCTCCTAGACATCTACGTTCATTCCGTAGTATGTGAAGACAGATCAAGGCTATGGAACAAACCTCTTTTCCAGGCTGAGGGACTGACCACCTCAAAACTACGTCTTGAAGGGTGATGGACTGATTACGTCCTCTTCACATCTCTACTGCTTCTGCAAACTCCTCTTTATTCGACTGAAGAAGCCTACTGTGTAGGAGAAACATTTCGGAATAAAGATACCTAACTGCTGCACATAATATGTCTTACTTACGAACATGTCGGTATTGTATACATTTCTCATATTTGACAATTATGTAGGCAACTGAGAAGATCATGGTCTCGAAACTTAGACTGCCAGTTAGATGATGATGATGATGATGGCTGATGGACCTGGTACTAATACCTGAGGAATTCGTGAAAACTTTCATCCTATGTCTCACAAACAACACAGAGCAGCAAGAATTGAACACTTTTTTTTTAATATTTCCCTGGCAGGCGCCCGATTGAATAGAGATTATTTTTTGATGATTCAGAAATTGATTTCTTTTTCAGCAGCTGTTTAATCACATTGGCACTGTATCGATGCCGTCCTGTCTTATCCGTCTTTCATACAGAACTTAAAATAGATGCATCACACATTACTTTGGTATGTAGTTTAAACAAGTCATTACTCTGCCCTGTGAATGTGTTTCCCATATCTTCACTCTCAGCAAACCATTGCTTTAATCGTATATTGTTTTGTTTTCCTCATCGTGATATCTCTTTGATAATGCACGTTGCAAGGAAAAAATGCAGAGTTGAAATACAAATATCATTCGAGTAATTTCAAGCCAAACAGTTCTCCAACGCTTGAGAAATTCTTCGCTTTAGGTCTGACCAAGAGCTCCGCCATCTCCCTTGTTATTCTGAGAGTCCCTGATCAATGGTCACTGAGAATACTCATCGTGTGTTGTGAACTGTGAACTTTCAATTACAGAATTATTATCTACGTCTGGGTGTGCGTCACAAAGGCTGGCTACGTCTGGCCACATGATGCATGTGATATATCGTGATGCATCGCGGTACAAGAATTGATAGACAATCTATATAGAACAGAAAGAATAATGAAAGTCACTTTATCGTGCTAGATAAAAAGAGGCCAGAGTTTCCTCTCTTTGTTTTGAACTTATTCTCCAAACACACACAACCCGGCAAATAGAAAAATAACAGAAATTACTGAATAAACTAGACACAACCTGGCGAACAATTAAAACCGAAAACTTACTATGCAAGCCAAACACTTCCCAGCGAACAAATATAAGCGAGAACTTATTGCTAAAACTCGTCGAGCCAAAACTTGGCAAAGTTAGACATTTAATCTTGGCTGACAAGGTCTTCCACAGAGTTTAGCTCAACGTTTGCTTAGTAATATTTTAAAAGCAAGCCAGTAAAAGTTAGTTCTGGGTTACACGGGTCAGCTGGCTTGTACGTTCCTACTTGTTGCTGGATGACGAGGATAGTGCCTTTGGTGGTAGTAGTAGTCATGGTGGTGGTGATAATGGTAGTAGAGGTGGTAATAGTAGTCATGGTGGTGGTGATAATGGTAGTAGAGGTGGTAGTAGTAGTCATGGTGGTGGTGATAATGGTAGTAGAGGTGGTAGTGGTGGCAGTATTAGTCATGGTCGTGATAATGGTAGTAGTAGTCATGGTGGTGGTGATAATGGTAGTAGAGGTGGTAGTGATGGTAGTCACCACGGTAGTAGAGGTGGTATTATTGGTGGCGGTAGGAGTCGTGATAGAGGTAGTTGTGGTGGAGAGTGTAAGTGGTATTGATGGTGATGGTAGTGATGCCAGTAATGGTGATGAGGGAGAGAAAGAAATACAGAGAGCGAGAGAAATACAAGAATATTCTTGCAATTAAATTCAAATGAAGATATCAAGAGTGAACCAATTAAATACCAACTGAACACTGCATACTTTTTTTTCTATTTAAAATTTAATTTCAAGCTTGAATAAATCAGAGCGAATTACAGAGCATTAAAACCAGATCAAGACGTGTATAAGAGAGCCACCATCTTGTGAACGCGCTACTAACATGTATACGAAAAAAATATGTACACTGTGAAGAGTAGAGGTACAACAACAAGTGCACTGAGATGTAACTCATTGTACTTCTTCATGTTGTTGAACTGCGAGTTGCATATAATAGTGTGGTTGATCGGGTCCTCAGTATTGCTGTTAGACCAGGAAATGATCCATGTCAAGTAACTGAAATCTTATTAAAATGAAAAGACTCAAAAAATTTCTAAACTAAAAAATAAAATAAAAATTAAATTAATTTAAAATTGTGGTTAATGTGTAATAAATCTTCGAACATTATTAAAAATTACATAAGCCCATAAAAGACTAAGGTAAAAAAAAAAATAATAAATTTAATTAAATACATACAAATAAAAATTACAACGATCGACACCATGCCTAACCTTTCTAGGGTAGGGTAGGTGCTTGAGCCCGAGCTTACAGCTCACAAAACTGTCATTCCCATTTACCCCCTTGGGGCGGGGATGGCAGAACAGAGAGGCCTAGCTTGTGGCTAGGCTTGGGGACAGTTGGTCCCAAAGATGAGGAGGTACTTGTGCCTCCTCCCATGGGAGTCTTAGGTCTCATACACTCCCTAAAGAGGGAGCCAAGGCCGGGCCACCACTTGGAAAAGGCCCGGGCCGGGAGAATACCGGCGAATCTTTAATAATAAAAATTACAACATCGACACCATGCCCAGCCCTTCTAGGGTAGGGTAGGTGCCTGAGCCAGAGCTTGCAGCTCACAAGACTGCCATTCCCATTAGCCCTCTTGGGGCGGGGATGGCAGACCAGAGAGGCCTAGCTAGTGGCTAGGCCTGGGGACAGTTGATCCCAAAGATGAGGAGGTACTTGTGCCTCTTCCCATGGGAGACTTAGGTCTCATACACTCCCTAAAGAGGGAGCCAAGGCCGGGCCACCACTTGGAAAAGGCCCGGGCCGGGAGAATACCGGCGAATCTTTAATAATAAATAATAAAAATTACAAATGGTTATAATTAATGACAATTTTTAAAGGGGTGGACCGGTAAGCCGGTGGAAGGCCTCGGTCAGATGACCCAAAACCTCAACGGTGGGTCATCATATGACTAAGACCCGCGTCAGGAAACACTTGCCTTGTTTCCTGACAAACTTTACCTAACCTAACCTAATTAAAAATCTTTAAAATATAATTCAATAAAAATCTTTCAACCCATGTAGAAAAATTCATTAAAGAAACTCTCTGGACTCCATTAAGGTATATTTAAAACGCATTAAACATTTATAGACGACAGGGAACACCATTAAGAAGAATCCAGGACCCCTCAAACACTACGGGTTGTCTCATAAGGTTTTAACTCCACTGCAGAAGAAGCTTTGTTAAAATTAATTGGATCGAGGTCCGTATCAAGGGAAGAGTTCTGCCTAAATAACCCCGTTGGTTCAGGGATGTTTATATAGCGGTTATTGTGTTTATATAGTGGTTATTGTGTTTATATAGTGGTTATTGTGTTTATATAGTGGTTATTGTTTATATAGTGGTTATTGTGTTTATATAGTGCTTATTGTGTTTATATAGTGGTTGTGTTTATATAGTGGTTATTGTGTTTATATAGTGGTTATTGTGTTTATATAGTGGTTATTGTGTTTATATAGTGGTTAGTGTTTATATAGCGGTTATTGTGTTTATATAGTGCTTATTGTGTTTATATAGTGCTTATTGTGTTTATATAGTGCTTATTGTGTTTATATAGTGGTTATTGTTTTTATATAGCGGTTATTGTGTTTATATAGTGATTATTGTGTTTATATAGTGGTTATTGTGTTTATATAGCGATTGTGTTTATATAACGGTTATTGTGTTTATATAGTGTTTATTGTGTTTATATAGTGGTTATTGTGTTTATATAGTGGTTATTGTGTTTATATAGTGGTTATTGTGTTTATATAGTGCTTATTGTATTTATATAGTGGTTATTGTGTTTATATAGCGGTTATTGTGTTTATATAGTGGTTATTGTTTTTATATAGCGGTTATTGTGTTTATATAGCGGTTATTGTGTTTATATAGTGGTTATTGTGTTTATATAGTGGTTATTGTGTTTATATAGTGCTTATTGTGTTTATATAGTGCTTATTGTTTTTATATAGCGGTTATTGTGTTTATATAGTGGTTATTGTGTTTATATAGTGTTTATTGTGTTTATATAGCGGTTATTGTGTTATATAGCGGTTATTGTGTTTCTATAGTGCTTATTGTTTTTATATAGCGGTTATTGTGTTTATATAGTGGTTATTGTGTTTATATAGCGGTTATTGTGTTATATAACGGTTATTGTGTTTATATAGTGTTTATTGTTTATATAGCGGTTATTGTGTTTATATAG